GATAAATATATATATGCTTATATATTTCTAAATACATACATATTATAGATAAATTACACCCAGACACAGAAAAATCATCGTGTTCACACAATTATTTGTCCTGGGTGGGAATAGAACCCAACAGGCTCGTCAGGTCACTGCGACTTATGATTATGATTACGCCAGCGCCATAAACATGCGAAAGGTCTGCCTAAGGCTCTAGGTCTAAAAAAGAGGTTGTGGTCTTTGAAAATTTGCTTAAGTTTTGATGGTATTTATCTTGTCTATGACCAGTAATAAACCTGTGATAAATCACTACTGTGATTTATCACAGGTTTGATTAGGTGATATCGTGACTAAAACCAATCATTATTATGATTTTAAAGTAGTACTTATGATTTAAAAATAATGTCCATAACTACCTGCAACTCAAGAAATACTAGTATGTTACCGCCCTTTGAGTACGTCCCTGAGGGCAAGTCTTAGTCTTGAGGGAGGGGGGTTCGGCTTTCGATAGCCTCACTGATAGCGTCTGTATTCTATGCCGGATTTATCTGGTAGGCATTTTACGGTTGAGTGACAGTGGAAGTAAAAAAAGCAATGCGTGAATAAAGAGAAGTGCAAATACACAAACAAATAAATATTATCATTGCCAACAAAACAGGGAGATCAAATACCTACATGGTCATTTGAAAAGCCGTGTTATATAAGGCTGTCTTATTTATTTTACCTCTCATCATACAGGTTTGTCGCCATCAATCTTGGGCCATTTACCATAACAGCCATACTTTAAAATGCAACTCTTAAAGTCTCACAAATATTTAAGATTACGCTATCTTAACCCGTCTCTACGAGGAGGTCTGACATTATCAAAAATTTTTATTGTCATATACACATTAACACATCCATAACAAACTTTATCACAATACATTAAAGTACATTATCCGTTAACTATTTGAGAAAGTAAGATTGTATTAGTATATCGCTGCGCATGAGTGACCAATCACAAATGGGTGTTCGGATTCCAAATTTGAAATTCTTCACGCACCGAAGCTGGCGCCATCTTTTTTGGGGTATTTTTTTATCTTTTATTTGAGTCTGGAAAATGTTAGTTGTTATAGGTTGATTTTTATATGTTTTGTAAATATTTTAATTGGTGCTATATAATCCTCATTCTGAGCCTATTAATAATCTAATTGGTCGGCTTTTTGCTTTCATATAAGATTCATAATTAAGGCAAACAGGTGTTTTTTTAAACTTTTTAATCGAGCTATCCATTTAGAAGTTACGACACCAGTCCAGAGACATCAAACTTAAAACACTCTTTGTACGAAAACTTATTTTGTTTTATAATTTCATTTTTTATGGCAAACCAGCAGACGGGTCACCTGATGGAAAGTGACTACCGCCGCCCATGAACGCCTGCGACTCAAGAGTCACAAGCGCGTTGCCGGCCTTCAAGGAAGGAGTACGCTCTTCTCTTGAAGGTTTGAAGGTCGGTCGGTCCGGAAATACTGAAGAAGATAACTTGTTCCACAGATGTTAGTCTTAAATTTTAAATTTGGAATTAACGGAAGTGATAACAAGTCTCTTCTTTGAGGGAGATATTGCTAGGGCCTGGTGTTGTTTCTACTTGAATGAGAAGTAAAACTAAAATTGAACATAAAAACATATTTTCTTACTCCAATCCGGTTCATAATAATGGAGTTCTATGGTAACAAACATAAAAGAAAAAGAACCGATATGAGAATCTCTTTCTTTTTTAAAGTCGGTCAAGATTTTTTTTTACTAGTCAAATACTGTTACACGAATAAGCGAATTTAATTATTTGAGTAAAAATACCCATTTGAGCTTTGTATTATCTATTTTTCTCACTTAATTTTTTTCCTTTAAAAGATTTCTGTTGAACTGCCTTTACTACGGAGTTTTTTATAAGTCCCTGCATCTGAATAATTTATGCAGAAGCAACCTAATTTCCTCGTCTTACAATGCTTACACAGAAGATTAAATCCGTGCCCGGTGAAATCCGCAAATTCAAACTGAACTTTGGTACCCGCGCGAGATTCTCTTCCACCAAACTTTCTCAAAGATTTCCTTCTGCAAACTAGGAAAGTTTTGTTGAAATCTTTCAAATGGGAAAATCATCGTCGACGTTTATGAGATACCTTATGGTTACTTAATGATTCTATAAAATTTCACCTGGGTCATTTATGGAAATTTATGACAACTTGTGATATTTAGTAAATAGTTTATTGTTACTAATGTACTACTAGAATAAAAATGGCTCGCCATTTTAATAAATCTATCTTAATTTATAAAGATAAGGCTTCAGACAAGCTTATAGCTAGATAGAGAGTAGAAACATTACTGTTATGTTTCTACTCTACACGTTGGTGATTTTATCATCTTTGTCGCCTCCGATTTTGCGGCGTTCTGTAAGTTATCTTTGATCGCGGACCCGGTATTTAATATTTTATTTAAAAAACAATTATTTTATCAGTGTATGTCATTGGCACAGTTCATATTCTCATATTTGCTATCTACTGTAAGAATAGTGAATTTTTGTATACTACCTATCGCCCGTGGCTTCTCTTCTTTAGGCTCTGTGTTGATGAATCAGTAAATCAGCCAGGGCAAATAATTTGATTAGGTGTTTAGTGTTACTAAAAACTAACTGCAAAAAAGGGTGCGTGACTCAGAAACAGAATTGAGCAATTTACTTGCCTCGTTCAAAAGTCTATTGTAATTATTATATTTTGGGGTATGAACATTAATCCTGCAAAACTTTGAGCACCTCAGACCGGCGCGGTATAGGCAATGCAAATATTTACGCAAGTTATAATTGGATGTACCGACGAAGATGCTTGCTAAGCAACATTCTGTTTTTTTTTTCCCACCCTTTAGCCGCGGTACGTAGCAAAGATAATTGGTTTGTTCCAAATGTTTATATTGAGATGAATCATTTTTATTGAAGTAGGAAGTGAAGAGAGATTTTTAATGATAGTAATTTCATTATAGGTATAAAAATAGTTTTTTTTTTTTTTTTTTTTTAAAAGAACGCCCGCGTTAGGAATAAATCCTGTGTCGCGGGGACCTTACAAACATACATGAAACGGACACAAAGAACACCCAGACTCAGAACAACAATTTGTGGATCACACAAAGTGTCGTCCCATGTGGGGTTTGAACCCACAACACTCGGCGTAGTAGGAAGCGGCGTGGCGACCGCTTAAACCACTACGCCATATTATGGTAGACTTGATATTGGGAGTATTCAACCATATTGACGGGCCTGTTGGTCTACTGGTTAGTGACCCTGACTGCTAAACAGGAGGTCGTGGGTTCGATTCCCATACAATACAAATAATTGTGTGATGAGCACGATCGTTTGTTCTGTGTCTTGGTGTAATTTATCTATAATATGTATGTATTTAGAAATATATATGTATGTTTATTAGCAGTCTGGTTACCATAGTACAGGCTCTGCCTAGTTTGGGATCAGACGGCCGTGTGTGAGATGTGTGAGGTTATTATTATTATCATATTAAAAATTGCCACAAAGACTCTATTTAATTGATCTGTTAGCTAGGTTATATTGTAGTTTAATTATAATTTAAATTGTTGTCCCGATGCGAAGGGGTCTATTTTTTGGTTCAGAGGACGGTTCCTGTACTAATGCTGGACCCCATTCATAATATGTTTAACCGTGGTGTAGCCTTGTTTCGGAACGAATGGGCCAGCTAAACCTGAGTGATACCACGGCCTAACAGAAAACTGGTTTTAAGCAGTTCTTTTGTTGCTTTTCACAACAGTATCAACTCGCCTTATTCTGGGGAGAGGGGGGACTCAATAGACGAGTCGAGAGACAGCGGTAGTCACTTACCATTAAGACACCGTCTGCTCTTTTGCCTATACCATATACCTTTACCATAAAAATACTACTGAACTAGGACTAAAAAAAAGGTTGGCAAAATGTAAGCATTTAATACGTCCCTGCCTACACCTTCACGGACATATGTACGTAGTAGTACGAGTATGTGTTGGATTTAATTTTAAATTATAATAACAAATATTTTAAATTATAATAATATATAAATTTATTAAATAAGGTAAGGTAGGGTTAAATAATTAACTAAGACAAAAACGAGTTTCAATTTTTCAGTACAAATCAGCAATGTCATACTTTAACCCCTATTATTATGTTATATGCCTACAATACTATATAGTGTAAACATACGTAAATTGGACTTAAGAGCGTTGCCATGTAGACTCCAGGCAATTTGACCACAACCCGTCTATGTATTTTTGTTAGGGATCAAAACGTCCCTGTTTACCTTTCATTCGGATTTAACTTCGACCTGTTAAGGGTTGGCCGTTTCGTCTACACCCTGTGGCTATGTCGCGAACAAAATTAATTCTAAAGGAATAGTTACTGCTTTTCTTTAATATGCATAGCTTGCACTGCGGGATCTACAACACGAATTAAAAAGTTTATTTTTTGTGTTAGAGGGGGCAGACGAGCAGACGGGTCACCTGGTGGAAAGTGACTATCGCCGCCCATGAACGTCTGCTACTCAGGAGTTACAAACGCGTTGCCGGCCTTTTAAGAAGTACGCTCTTTTCTTGAAGGTCGTATTATCGGTCCGGAAATACCGCAGACGATAACTTGTATATATTTTGGATTTTGAAATACATTGGAGGAATAATATTTATAAAAAGGTCACATGACCTTGAACCCTTCAAGAAAAAGAGCGTACTCCTTAAAGGCCGTCACCACACTAGTAACTCATGAGTTGAAGGCGTTCATGGGCGGCGGTAGTCACTTTCCATCAGGTGACACGTCTTCTCGTTTAACCCCTATATCATAAAAACACATCAAAATGGACTTTAATTTTACATTAGAACAAACATTTTCCGAATGCCTTAACTATTGTACTGGTAAATTTTTCGGTTATTACATTTACTTATAGAATAAAAAGCTCTTGATATAACAGTATAAATAGCAATTCCATTTGTTTTAGTTACCTGTGTCTCTGCGGGTGTATAACTCGTGCGGAGAAGGCCGGCGAAGCGAGGGAGAGTATCCAAACACTGGTCACGGTGTGCGCTGACCTGTGCCACCCCTGCGATGTAGATATCGTGAGTATTTCCTGAGAACATCTTAAGAGTACGATTGTTAAAATTCAGCTATCACAATTCCATTTTCTTACTCTCTTCTCAATATGGATGATGAGCCTTCGAGCAGTCTTTTACCATAACAACGCTCGCCACTTTCTTCCTCCTTTTTCCACATCACACTAACTATAAAATTACATCCGGCCATGGTTGTCAAATGAAGAAACCGATATCGAGTTCGTTAAGCATGCGTCAGAAAATTGTTATTGTAAACGGCCATAGACTACGTTTATGGTCGAATGTTCTGAAACGATACTCTTCTATTATCTTCATCAACATCATCAACAGCCTATACTAGTCCACTGCTGGACATAGGCCTCTCCTTTGAAAGGAGGTTTTGGCCTACTATACCACGCTGGCCAGACGGGTTGGTATAGGGTTTGTTTCAAGTTTTCCTTCTCTTTGCAGTGCTGTTGTCCTGCTTAGTTTGCTCCCTTAGTCGGCTCTTACGACACCCACGGGATGAATTGAGGTGGTGACAATTTGTATTCTTAATCCGTCACCACACGGATTAGTGGTATATAAATTCTTCTTATTCAGGGTTCAGAACGCGCATCAGCTACACAATCTCTTCGGTGCGCCCTAGGGACAGGCGTCTGCGGCTCTCGTGCAGAATTCTGTGTGCTGTTCGCTCAGGGCGCTGGGTTGGAGCATAGCGGTGGGTTCGTCAAAGCCGCTCGTACTACACACCTGTTGCGGGCCTTGGCTGAGCTTGATCATCAGATTGTGCAGGTCAGTTTATGATATATTTATTTAAGACTAGCTGATATTTCTACATATACCTATTATTATGTACTTGGATGATGTGCCGTGTTTTTGGGCAATACATGTGATAGGAATCAAATAGCTCACTTAAGACCCATAATGTTTGTGTGTCTGTGTTGCTTGCCTGTTTAATAGGGTGTATGATTATTTTTTAGTTTATTGTCGTCTCCAGCTTTGCTAAGGAGGGAAGTACCTCTGATTAATTTGCTTGCGGGTTCAAAGTCAGCTTAGCTTGTCCTGGGACTTCCCGAGTGTCATGACTCGGTATGTTCGTGGGTCACTGCTGTTGATCCTAGAGTAAAAAAGTACTATGTACTTCTTTGTGCGCCGTCTATGTAAATGTTACTAAAATAATTAGAAGTATTAATTGAGATTTATTTTGGGATTATTCCGTTTTAAAATAATTTTAATTGTAGTGGACTACTCACTTAACTAAAACAAATTGCAATCATAGAACTAATAACAAACTCACAAAAATATTATTACGTATAATAATATTAGTACGTAAAAGTATATAGTTGAATCTATAAATTACATTTAGAACTAAAAAACGTAACGAGGTCATTCGATCACCAAATTTTATTCGTCATATTTTTTTTTCCGGGCGCCTTATATGAATATCGATTCTTAAGGAGTAAACTCTAAAAATACACAGTAAACACGTCCAGTATTTACTTACAAAGGCCGAGAGAAAGCTATTGAGAAGGCCAGCACCCACAAATTAGTGGTGGGTAATAAAATATTCGGCTCGCATCTCTTTAGACGGCATATTTGCCGTGGCTCCTTAATTAACTGGGTATCATTGCAGCGTGTTTGTTGAGAGCAAACAGGCAGATAAATGGTGAGTGCGGCGAGCGGTAGCCTAACTCGGATCAATTGTGTCTTTGAAATGGATGTGGTAATGTTAAATATTGGTGGGGACAACACACAGATATAAAAAGTAGAAATAAAAGTTTTTTTTTAAATTGATTAAGAAATAATTTAAAGTCACTAACTTAAATTGTAGGGAACCCAAAGTTGTGCCCGTTAAAATCCACTATTCTAGTAAGAAGTTCTAATTTACCTATTTTGTCAACTAATAATTAACAATTACAGTCTTCTAGCGTTATCTACAACGAGGTTACAGGGAATCGATGACACCCTAAATTAATAATATATATATATGTATGTATATATATAATTGTATATTAACAAAAATACCCCTGACTGAAATTCCTTAAACAATCAGATTTTCTTGAATAGTAGCTGAGAACAATTTGGATCAAATCCTTTGAATGGAGACAGAACAACTCATATACGCACACATTAAACTTTCAAATCTCGCCTTTCAAGTGTTAAGCAGAATATTTAAAACAAAATGTTACAGAATTTTTTACTTCGTGTTCCTTAATATCATCAGTATCACTATTTCCTTACTCTTTTTCCAATTTATTTTGGGGTCGGCGCCATGTGTAAAATTGCAAGGAATTTGTCTAGTTGCTTTTAAGGGTGTTTGATGCCAAATCTCCTTGGGAATATAATCGTCTGCATATGAAACAAACCGGATAGTGAGGTGAAAGGATACTTCAAATCACAGATTAAAAGCGGATATAGATAGCAGCGGCTCGAAGGCCCATTTGGTACTGGTTCATCCTCTGATTGGATTCAGTATTCTTTATTTAATACAATACTTTAAACATTTATATATTGATCATGATGTTTCATCATTCCCGTATAAATAATAATTATAAACAGTTTCAGCATACACACCGTATCCATTTTTCACGTAGAGATACTCAACCACAGTTTCAAGTTACCCTTTGTGGAGTCAGTACATACGTATGTCTGTGCGCTACTGGCGTGTTGGTTGATTGTTAATATGCCAGTGGCCAGGCGAGGTCACTGTTGGATCTGTAACCTTAGAGCTTTGTGATTACCTGCATCTTTCGTTACAATGTACGAAACAGATAGTTTTTTTAGTAACTCCATTGGGTTTTAGAATGATTTCGCGTTCCTATTAAATTCCTGTCAAGATTTGGTACGATTTCACCATTAATAATATAATCTAGCTTGCTGATCTCGTTAAATTTATAGTTAACTTTTAGTTATAAAGTCAGGTTGCTATTTTCAAATTTTTATAATTATTATGTTATCTATATGTGAATGATGTGCATATTTGTAATTAGAGTAGAACGTGAACTTACTTTGAAACAATTATGAGTATGAATGTTGGTGTTTATTCTGTAAATATGCCTTAATAAATAAATAAACGACTACTGCCGCCCATGGTCACCTAAAACTTAAGAGTTACAAGTGCGTTGGCGCCCTTTAAGCCCCCCGGCTTGGGCTCTGATAACCATACACTTGGTGAAAATAATGTTTTCTGTGATGCCATGGTACCCTCTGGTCATCTCCGGTTGAGCTGGCTCATTTGTGCTGAAGCACATCTCTCCCACGGTATTTCACAAATTTCACTCGCTTCGTTTGAAGTATCATGTCAACTCCAGCGATCTGTATATCACACACCTATCAAAGTACACAAGAAATCGGTATAATTCTGATATAATTATCTAAACACAAAGCAGTTGTCACGCTCACTGCTAACCAGTGATTAGCAGTGAGCGTGACAGCCGCCATCTCGTGTCGCAACATATCGAGACGAGTGCCTGTTAATATTTATCGAAGCGAAGCGGTGACAATAATGCCACGTGACTTCGCGACAGACGAGTAATGACTGATTTTTCTTTGTGTTTTGATTTTTGAGTAATTGTCGATAGTGTTACGGTAGATGACGGGTAAGTGATTGGATTTTATTGCAAAATGACTGACTGTGGATATGGCTTGTACAGTATTCAATATTTATTGCGGTATTTCCAAATCGCTACGACCTTCAAACCTTCAAGAAAAGAGTACACCTTTCTTAAAGACCGGCACTGCGCTTGTGACTCCTGAGTTACAGGCATTCTTGGGCGGCGGTAGTCGCTTTCCATCAGGTGGACCGTCTGCTCGTTTGCTTCCTGTATCATAAAAAACATCAGAAATGATTCTCTTCTCGAAATCAATAGAAAAAACTTCGAGTGTTGTACCTTTAATACTAAAATCGAAACAAATTTTATACTATGAAAAAAAAACAAAAAAAAAAACAGATTTTCTTATAAAATTACATCATCAGTATCGAGAGAGCTGTATAGGTATAGAGACAGTCCCATTAGTAAACAAGTACGTAATGCTGTACAAACAAATTGTTTAAAGTATTGTGGAAGATGTTAGGGAGGTGGTACGCTGTATGGGGGGACATAGGACTTGACAATAGTTTACCTAAGGGGCAACCAGACTGTGTTATTAGTTGCTTGATGTTTATTGTCGGTATTGTGTAATTTTGTGTTTTGGATATTTTGGGATCAGTTGACTGTGTGTGATGTCATTATTTACTTTAAACCTTGTACTTTTGTAAAAAAGAAGAAGGATTTTTTAAATGTAACATCTTTCCTTTGAGTGATGTGATGTAAGTGATTTCTTGATAAAAAACCGCAGTATGTAAGTAATGTTACACCTTATATGTAACTACTGTTAGGTTCGCTATTTTTTTTGCTGTGGTAACCCCTACAGGTCGCCACATCACCAGGGCTAAACGGCAACAAGTTAGTGAGTCAAACATAAACCCACATCCTAAAACTTCACCTTGCCTAAAACTCTCAATTTTTCAATTATATTAGTCTATTTATATCTATAGAATATCTTAGAAATAATACTATTATATTTTTTTTGGGTTCATAAGAAGATCCCATTGACGTACAGTATATGTTTTGTTGAGCCGGAGAATTTTGTCTCAACTTGTCAACACGGCTTCTTACCAGCACAACGCATTCTCTTTTGGTGAGAATGCTATTCACATGATTTTTCCAGAATCTTTAATTGCCAGTGTATTGTGTAACTGATATTAGTGTAGATATTATTGAACTCACATTCCGTTACAAATCTCGATAACCACGAACTCCTTAGAGAATACCATGAGATATATACTTTACAAAATACACTACACACCCCCTAGAACAAACACGCCCTTGTACAAAGACTAGTTACAGAGCCACGTGTCACTCGCACAACGTTCAGTAGTGTTTGCCACTGTGCCAATATTAGGGTGGCGGTAATCGCGAAATTTGATTACTGGTAACGTTTGCTTTGATACTTCTATTGTTATGAGTATGCTGGGCTCAGAGGAGTTTTGAAAGACAGTGTGGTACGTAGTACTGCTGCTGCTTATAAGGCAAGATCCATTAGCTGGCAATTGACAGTTGCGCCTGACTTGATGAAGATTGGATACATAACATGTATATGTTTAGCTTATTACACCAGTATGCACCTAATTTACATCTGTTGGGGTAGAAATCTTCTAAAGTAGGTGCCATACCAGTCATCCTTGGGTTTAAGGTCGACTGATAAAGGATGTTATGCACGAAATCAATTATAACACCAGCTCATCACCAATTTAAATATATTAAGTGGCGTGCAATGCGAGAGGCCTATGTCCAGCAGTGGACTGCGATAGGCTGATGATGATGATGTTGGTTTGTGTACGCTTCAAAAACTGAAAAAGTTCTGCACCGTTTGAGCTCAAATTTTGACACGATATACAATCTCTTTAAAGGATTATTTTTACCTATTTTTCATGTCAGTTTTGTGTGTTATTTCCCATGAATGCAACCACAATATGCCACAACAAAGCGCGGCAGGGCACAGCTAGTCATTTATAAAAGCAGACAAAAGTTCGGGAAATGCAAAGTCTAGTCAGTCAGTTTAGTAGAGGTATCTACTAGACTGACAGACATGCAATATTATTAACTAGCTGAGACCCGCGGTGTTACCCGCGTTTGTTGTATAACCGCGGGCAACGCCGCGGGGCGAAGATAGTCTAAAAAAAGTAAGCCTAAGTTACTCCTTATGTCATCAGCTATCTGCCAGTGAAAGTCCCGTCGAAATCGGTTCAGCCGTTCCAGAGATTACCCGAACAAACAGACAGACAGACAAAAATTGTAAAAAATATTATTTTGGCATATGTACCGTGTAAACATACATATGCATTTAGTATAAAGCAGTTATTTTAATATTACAAACAGACACCAATTTTATTTATTTGTATAGATAAGATTGTAAACTGTTAGTGGATGTAGACATTTATTGAGTCTAAAAATTCGATATCCCTTAACAATATTCAAATTAGTACCAAAAGACAGAGAAACCCGACGCTTCCACGTACCGTTCTAAAAGCGTAATAGTATATTTATATAGGTTTCCACTGGCGGCCGTGCGTTGCTAATGGCGGGTCCCGGAGGTGCGGGCCGGTAATCGATACCGAACTTAATGGATTGGGTACCGCACCCATATTTGGGAGCGTGATTTTTACTACAATTCCAAGGAAATTTTAAGCTTTTGGTATTCTCTAGAAATAAGAAATACTAGGATAGTTTTTTATCTATATTAAAGATATTTATGGATTGGTTTTACTCACGCGTGTTTTTCGGGGTTGCCCGTAAGCGGCACAGTCGCGTGACGCTTCCCTCTTTGAATAAAACCCCCTTTTTTACCAATTTTTAGAGTTTTATATTATTTACCTACTAGAAAACAAAACGCTTTTGTGATCACTTCTTAATTTGTTTCTTTAATAAGTCATTGAAGATGACGAGAAAATTTGGTACATATGTTGACAATCTTATTGTGTCATAAATTGATTTGATATAGCCGTGAATTTTATTATGTAAATTGAAAACAAAACAGCTATTTAACAGGAACAATAATACATCTCACTCGGCCGTCTGATCCCAAACCAGGCAGATCCTGTGCTATAGTATCCAGACAGTTACAAATATACTAATATATTTCTAAATACATACATATTATAGATTAATTACACCCAAACACAGAAAAAGTTATCATAGTCATCACACAATTATTTGTCCTGGATGGGAATCGAACACACGACTTCTGGTTTAGCAATCAGGATCACTAACCACTATATCAATAGGATCAGTTTTTCTGTCTGAAAAATTCAAGTATGTAAATAAAACCGGTATACACCATCTCTATCGAGATACACCACTCTGTCCTACTCTATTATTAATTAACTCACTCTTCAATCATTCGTCCGCAATCCCCCATGGTGCAGCCATAAATTCCCCACGGACACAAAACTTTGATGTCCGCACAAATGACGCGCCATGGGACTCGTATTTGCAATGCTCTGGATGGTGGGTAGATAAACATAATTATTAGTTTATTAGATAACTGGTTTGTTTTTGGGATCATTTTGTGGGTTGTCTGTTTGTTTATGTTTGTTTTTAATAGATATTTCGAGTAAATAATAATAATATTTTCGGATATTGACACACTACGCTATCTAGTTTCAAACTAAGCAGAGCTTGTACTATGAAAGCTATATTGACTGATAGAATACTTAAACTCTTTTTTTGTAATCAGGTGATAAAAAAAAACACAATTTCAAATACCTCCGATATAAATTGTCCCTTAAAGATTATAAAAGAGATTATGGTCTTCTAATAGCTGAACAGATTTCTTGAATTGTAATATTCAAAGGCAAAATATTAATGGCATGTCATGTTAACGTTTAAATATTAATTGGTGGAATTAAAATTGTTGCCCGTACTTTATAGTGGATAAAACTCGAATACTGCCATGACAATATACTGTAAATGTATGCAAAGTTATAAATATGTAGCTAATGGGAGATTACATCTTTAATGCTTCAAATGCACAAAGCTTTTTATAGGTTCAAAATATAGTTTTTGGGTAAATCATTATTTGGTCTGTCCTAATTAGGGAAAATTTATAATGTATGCTACAAGACCTTTAATTTCTACTCCAATCGGTAATATAACGTTAGTAATATTTCGAAGAAATATCCATCAAATGCCAACTAAATCAGAACTCCCCCCTCTGACTTACCACAAACGTTAACAAGGGTCATTGCTTCAAGATTCACGTTACTGGACCTGAAATGTTCTGTTGACACGCAAGAAATAATGTAGTAAGACCAAAGCGTTTAGATTGGTAGTATTTTACTCTATTGAAATAAACCTCTTAAGTTATGAGTCTTATTTACTGAATGATGGACAATTAATCTACAAACTTACTTGTAAAGACATAAAAGGTTAAACAGAAGACTCTTCATTATGTACTTGAAACTGTATTAAATATCGAAATACAAGTTTTCGATCAGTTTACAGCAAGATAAGAAGTCTTAAAAATGTGACAATGCCTGTAGCACTCATTAAGGCAATGTCGACTGTAATTACTCAAATACTATAACCACTTTCAACTGTATACGGTAATGTTATAGAAACACGAGGGTCGTTACTGGTCCCACAGTAACCGAGCGGTGAATCCGTGCGGCGACTTCACTCACGCAACAAGATTGAGTTAAATCTGACCTCACTTCGTGACGAACTCGCAACGAATCTCTAACTTGTTAGGATCGGCCATACATATTGTATGAAGTATCGTGACGGAGTAGTTTTGGGTCTGGGGTGGTTAAAAGAAGGAACTGCAATGTGTTATTGCTCGTTTGGAAATTATACTCAGTTCTTATAAGACAAAAATTGCTTCGTAACAAATATATGTATGTGGCAAAGACACATTGACCACAATAACAAAGATAACTTTTTGGCTCGTACAACCAATCTGTAGTCTAATAAATCAAACCTTCAAACTTTCGTACTCCTTGTGAGTTTCAGATTTTCATGGGCAGTGAAAGTCATTTAATGGGTGACTCGACTTCGCATCAGCTTAATATTTATAAAAAAGTATTTACTGTGCTTTCTGTTACAATTATTATTGTTAGTACAACTGATTTGCATATCCTGACTGAAAATCTAGTAGTATATTGGCGGACGTAACCAATACGCAGAGTGATTGATTGGACGGAGTAGCGAATTAGTGAGTCGTGTGTGTAATGTCTGCACTGTTGTGTACTCTGTGATGGTACGAAGACTTTGGAGTACTGCTGCTGCATTTTCATAACACAAGTGTTTGTCAACAGGAGGCGTTTGGTGAAGGCGGTTGGCCACTCGAGTTTAGAGCAGCTGTAGCAAGACTGCTCTCTCAACATGCTCCGAACGATAAAGAAGCGCCGAGGTCTACTGCATTGCGTAAGTTACTTTTATGATGACCGATGGTTACACACTTCAAAGATATAACTATTGAGTATAATTAGCGGCAAACTTAAATGAATGATTGCTTAGATAATTGATTTGACAATAGTAAGGTGATATCATGACTTGCTATTTCATATAAAATCGTACTGAACCTACCAAATCTACATAAATTAGTACCAGCGAATACCAAACCATCTGTGGCAACATCGAAGACCAGAAATACGGTCATCATCATCACACCACTGCTGGACAAAGGCAGTTTTGGCCTACGTATTGTAGGCTAAAACTTCTTATATAAGGAGACTCTACGCTCTACGATGGCCAGACGGGTTTTATACGGGTTTGTGTCAAGTTTTCCTTCTCTTTGCAGTGCTGTTGTCCTGCTCCCTTAGTCGCCTCTTACGACACCCACGGGATCAATAGGGGTGGTGACACTCTGTATTCTTAATCCGTCACCACACGGATCCTTTCGGAAATACGGTCAGCCAACTTAAACTACAAAACTACTATTACTTAACTTCATCAACAGCCTTTAATAGTCCACTGCTGGAATTGGGCCTCTCCTTAGAAAGGAGGTTTTGGCCTACTATACCACGCTGGCCAGACGGGTTGGTATAGGGTTTGTGTCAAGTTTTCCTTCTTTTTGGAGTGTTGGTGTCCTGCATTGTTTTGCGCCCTAAGTCGGCTCTTACGTCACCCACGGGATGAATTGGGGTAGCGACATTCCGTATTCTTAATCCGTCACTACACGGACTTACAATAATATTAAATGATGACCTTAATCCATTTGAGTTCTCCAATCAAGCATTTAATCCGTAATATTTTGTCCAATAGGCTTGAGTAACCAGCGGCTGGATCAAACCCTGTCCGAAACTATGGTGTTGGACCTGATTGTTCTTGTCGGGTTCGTGGTTGTCAACAACCCGCAATTACAAGTAAGTTTTGATATAGTTGGTATATATATATATATATATATATATATATATATATATATATATATAATGTTAAGTTGGTTTGTGTACGCTTCAAAAATTCAAAAAGTTCTGCACCGATTGAGATCCAATCGTTTCAAAGATGGTTTTATCTAGTTTTGGTATCAGTTTTATTCCTCATTTACAATATGCCACAGTGAAGCGTGGCAGGGCACAGCTAGTTTATTATATATAATTAATTGTGCTTACACTTAGTCGAGTCCAGCTTACCGCAGAAGTGGTCGTCCGGCTCCAAAGCGTTGTATCATTATGTCTATATCACCAACGGGGTAGACAGTGATGTATTAATCGCTCACATTTTGGTGTACAGTCAGCACTTGCACACAGCATTGTAATCCCACAAATGTCTTTTTTTAAAATTTTCATTTTAAGGAACACAAACAATGTATTGTACAATAATGTCTTAAGAATTAACATGCGTAATGTTTTGATCTAGTAGATACATACTAATATAATATGTGTCCACAGCTTCTGCCATTTTATGTTAACTACCTTGAGAGATGAAACAATTATATAAATTCTATCATTGATTACTTTTAGAACCTTAGGTATATAATAGGAGGCAAGCCTGTTCTCATCGCAATTATATAGGGTAAGGAAGGCAGGTAAATTAAAGAAAAGGGATTCTGCTAAATAAGAAAATGCTCGAGAAGCTCAACGTGATACCTGCCACTCAAACTGGCTGTTCCTGGGAACTCTGAAACCTCTAACTGGTATATATATAATGAGATCAGAATTAGATTATGATTTTTTTTAAGATATGTCCCGCATTAGGAATATATCTTGTGGCACGTGAGACTACAAACATACATGAAACGGACACAAAGAACACCCAGACTCAGAACAACAATTTTTGGTGTGTGTCGTCCCATGTGGGAATCGAACTAACAACGTAAGCGGCGTGGCGACTGATTAAACCACTACGCCATCCGTGCAGTCAATTTATTAATTAATAATGAATTACTTAGTACTTCGCTGCTATTAAATACTAATGTGTTATGTGTTAATTAACGTTTCCAAAAAACATACATTCTTGAAAGATCTTGGAGGTCTTTCATAACTTCTATATGCTCATTGAAAGAGAGAGCAAACCCATCCACAGTTTCATAATACACAAAGGCTTATTAGACGCAGAAGGGCCGAGGTTCTAGGTAATATAGTAGGTTTCGGATTCGAAACGACTAAAACCAAAGGCGATTCTAGAATCCTTTGGTTCCCTTTCTGGGTAAACACCTCTAAATTAGACAAACTACAAGCTCATTATTGGCCTCCTCACGGCTGCCATATGGGGAATGTTGGCCCGAGGGTGTAGTGTAAGTTCATTTCACTTCTATTCGATCGTCACGGTGACGCGTTCGGCGTTGTGATTGGCCCAAATTAAACTTTAAACCAATGACAACGCCGAACGCGTCAACTATCGAGAGCGAGATGATGTGAAATGAACTTACACTTAGGATCCTGATATAAGTAATCCCAAAACACTCGTTCGTCCGAAGGTTGCTGTATCGCAACATGCAATAGATTCCCAACGTACATATAATCGTGTTACATGTAAACAGTAGTTTGTAAACATATACTTGTCTACAGAATAGATATTCTTACAGCCCAACGAAACACGATGTCGGTTTTATTTCTCATGCGGGCGACACTTACACCTGCGTATACACGTGTTAACTATTATTGCAATACATCCGACACAAAATGCCCGTCGAATAATATATCCACTTGCATTTTGTGTTGTTTATTTGTCTAATGTGAGAGATATGATCTCTCTATTAGAGGTCATATGAGAAATACTTTAATTTAATGCTGTTTTGTTGTTTATACCTTTTAATTCTAAATGACTTTTTTTTTCCACACAGGTGGTTGTCTATTATTTTTTTAAAGGTTTTTAAGTAGTTTTTAATAAGTTACGGAGACTTTTGTATGCATTAGTGAGCTTTGAGCTCGTTTGCCATTCTAGTGTTATGTGTCTGTTATTTACATATACTGCACGGTTGGCGTTGTGGCTTAAGCGGTCGCCACGCCGCTTCCTACTACTCCGAATTTTGTGGGTTCAAACCCCACATTGGATTACACTTTGTGTGATCCACAAACTGTTCTGAGCATTGGTGTTATTTGTGTCTGTTTCATGTATGTTTGTAAAGTCCAAGGATTCTCTCGCTTAAAAGTGATTTTTCCAGCCCTCTGGACAGCACACTTTTTTCTGAATGAGGGCATTCTCTATATATGTGAATTCACAATAACAGCATTAAGAATTATTTCTTATAATAAATAAGTAGGTGGTATAACACTATTGCATTGGGCTAAGCCTGTAAAAATAGTTGTTTTTAAAGAAAATAAATAAATAAATAAATAAATCTCTGGCAACATTTATTACAAAATCTAGCGCATAAAGTACGTGAACTCACGTTGTCTTTACATATTAGATATATAGTTCTAGAATTAGAATCTTTAAAAAATGACCAAGTTTCGCTCGCACTTTTTAATAAATTTATTAGTCCAAAAGTTTATTGACCTGTCAAGTCAATAAACAAATTGACCTTTAAAGGTAAGTCAGTCGTTTTCGCGGTGATGCAGTCTATTAACCAGTTCTATTTAAATGAAGTTCCCACGGGCGCAGGTGTCCGGCCGAACGACACAGTTGTTCAAGGAAATGTCCTAGCTCCTTCCCCGACAATTTATTCCTTTGGGATAGTTGCGTAAATTGTGTAATGTGTATGCGTTTACCTTATACATTATTGATTTGAAATGTTTTTAGCGTCGACTTTTAGGGAGGGAGGTAGTATATAGGGGCACTTGTAGTAAGCACAATTCAATTGAATAAGTATTTGGTTGTCGTTGTTTTTCTTGTGTTTTTGTGTGAGGAGCTTGTCACCTATTAAGTGGGACTTATAATTACCTAGATATGGACGCCTTTGGTCCGCATGTCTACTCCTTCTGATACATAGACGTAAATATATGTAGGAATGTATGTACATAGTACTAATCCCACCCACACGCCCACCACTGTAACTCCTGTACACCAGGATCCACAGCAGTGACCCACGAAAACACCGAGTTATGACACTCGGGAAGTCCCAGGAAGAAATTAAACTGTCTTGGAACCCGCAACGAAATTAATCAGAAGAAAATTGGAGGAGTTTTAAATACAGTAAATCCACTTCCCTCCTTAGCAAAGCGGGAGACAAAATGAAGTAAAATGAGCATACACCGTTTTAAACAGGGAAGCACCACGGCCACAAAATATTTATCCTATTTTAAATATATTTGACTGCACGGATGGCGGAGTGGTTTAAGCGGTCGCCACGCCGCTTCCTACTACGCCGAGTGTTGTGGGTTCAAACCCCACATGGGACGACACTTTGTGTGATCCACAAATTGTTGTTCTAATTTGGGTTTTCTTTGTGTCCTTTTCATGAATGTTTTTAAAGTTTGTAATTCCTAGTGAGGCGGTTGTGTTTAAAAAAATAAAATAAACCGTAGTACCAAGACATTTCTTAAAATTGTTTTAATGCATAGTCAATGAAAACTTCAGTCTGTTCTTTATAGTTCTAATAAACTTTTAAATAAAAAAAAACATTATTTATCAATGGTCTTTATTTCTCAGGAGACTATATGTGATGGATGGAGCGTAATCAAGACTCTGTGCACTCTGCCTGCCAACTGGCTGGTCTCACGGGTCCACAGTCATGTGTTACTACCTACCTTGGTGGTTCTATCGGAACATAGTGCAGCGGCGGCATCTATAGCATCGGAGCTTAGTACAGGGGTGAGTATTTATAACCAGGGCCTCAATTCTGCTATTAGCATTTGTCATGCTATTGAGATGCCATGGAAACGCCATTGACATCAGGCAAAATATCTGTATTCTACTAACATAAATTAACAGTGTCAATAGACTGTCGATATAGTAATATAGGTCATTAATGGCATTGCCAAACCTGGATAATTAATTATATCATTTTCTTACAAATTTAAAATTTACCATTTACCAAACAGTGACAAAGACATCGACGACATGTGTGTCAGTGACAAGTGATCGGGAGGCCATATGTCTTTCATAGTCAGTAGAATAGGAAAAGTGCAAAACTATTCCGACGACATTCCAACGACAGTCTTTTTGATATGATATTAAAATATCAGAATTGAGGCCCCGTTTACTCACTACAGCTTTTGCCCACGGCTTCACTCACGTAAAGCGGTCATGTTTATTGTATAGAGGAAAACGAGCGAAAAACTTGTGTACTAGCCTACATGTTTTAGTAATAGCAGGATAGCCAACTTGGTCTAGCAGAAAGTTAGGATTGACCCTTGAATAGCCTTTTACCATCCCATGACCCGTTTCTTCGTTTGCTGCCTGTACTATAAAAAAAGATACAAATGTTTATAGGCTACGGTAACCGCTTACCATTCAGCGGACCAAATGATTTTTTACTACAGACATGGAATAGAAAAACACCGTATGCTGGTATTTGGGAAATACTTATATTTTTTTTAAGTTATCACAATTAGTTCGAATCCAGTCAATTGTCAGCGTTGCGTCGTTATCATAAGCTACATAATAAATTGTCTGCTAATATTTATTTTGCTTCAAAGAATAATTTATAACGTAATAACTACAATAACGCAATAACGTCTAACTACAAGATAAAAGCCCGCTCATTTCGGAAGTCACAAACTCAATTTGTAGTATTGAATATTTGATGGTATTACGCTTACAAGTTGTTCGCGCAGCTGGGTCCTACTTTATTTACTAACATGGCCTGAGGTACAGGTGTCAGTTGGTTCGGTAGGGCTGCAAAATGAGGATTGTAATTTATATAAATAAATTATTGGTTAGTTGACTCAAATTATAATTGGTACAACAAGGGAGGCTGTGCAAGAATTCGACTTCTATTTTCTTTCGTTAATTCGAATTCGTGGGAGAGTCGTGCTTTGGCACTGGCCAGGCTGATTGGAGTGATATCTTTCGTTGCTAGGCACCGAGTGACTGAGGTTACCGTAGCACAAACCCTCCCCCTACCCCCGATTTTGGAGGAAGGGACTGAAAGGGCTGCAACGAAGTTATGGCGACTCCCACATACGAAGAAACAGAAACATACTATAGCACCATCTAACGAAGAGACACCGAACTACGGAGTAACTCCTGAATGAGAAGTGTTAATCCTGTATCGTGATATGAAGAATTCTCTCGCCGATAAGCATATATACAACTGCCCAACATCAACCGTGGGGCCGCGGCCCACCAGGCATGGTCACCTCGCCTCGTCGGAGGATCCTCGCTTTATGTATGAGGGACATGACATCCGTTCCTTCACAAACATATAAATCTTGAGTTGCAAGAGTCCATGGGCGTCGGTAGTCACTTATCATCAGGTGACCCGTCGGCTCGCCCCACCCCTCTCCTACACCTTAATAAAAAAAAACGAATTGGAATAGGAATGATTTTTTTATATGATACTGTAAGTGTTTTAAACTATAACAATGATAATGACAAAGAAACAAAACAAAACCAAATAAAAAGTGATAACTATGATTTTAATAGAAACATTTTCCCAACAGATGCTAGAGGAATACATGAAGAGCCCAGAAGCTCAAAAGGTGAAACTAGTACAGGTGATCAAGCAGGGACGCACGAAGAAAGGTAAGAAGTAAGAGGATAAGTAGACTGAAGTATCGAGATTGATAAATTATAAATAAACGGCCTGTGTTAGGATTAGATTTCTCATGTTGATGTTTCTCTTGCAACTAAATGGATCAATCAATATGTAGGGCGAAGCGTTGGTATTGTTAATGTTTACGGTACGCAAAGTTCGTGTATTATTTATGGTTTAGGATAGCTAAACATAAACGATCTTTAAGATCGGCGAAAATGAAAAAAAAACCATGGCCCATTAGATTTTAGAATGTACTTTTTTAACAAAGAGCAAAAATTCTTGTTGTTGTCGTATGTCAGGCTGAAGATTCACAATTGTCGGGGCTTAGTTCGATCGCAACGTGTCGTGTTGTCGTTCGTGTTATTATTTCCATTTTTGATAAAATTTTCTTTTTAAAGTTTTGTTTTGGTAATGGTACGTACTTAATTTTAGTCTCATCTCCATTATCATGATCTGCTTTCATTCATTCAGGGTAATTATACTCCCTATTGTGCCATTCGTGCGTGTGCCAATTACTTCTCTTATCGCATTCATACTCTTCTCTATTTCTGGATTCATGAGTAAATTAATGTAAGCAATTTCTGTATTTTTTTTTCATTTAACTCATTACATAATTGGATTGTCACTAGCTTTCGTATTGTCGAAACTTTCTATTTTAGTTGACCTGATAATTTAAAATTGTATTGTATATTCTGTTGTATTTGAGGTGAGGTTTTTTTAATCAAACTGAGACCTGCTTAACTGAACGACAACCTAACGTTTAAATCCTATTTCGTATGTCTATTTAAATCCAAAAAAACTTCCTCATGTTACGAAAGTATTGCTTTCCCCTTTAATATTACCAATACCAATAATTTTAATAGTGTATGCACCGGTAACGTTGCCCAGTAAGTTTTTATCAGACATGAGGACTTTAAACATCTAGCTCAAAGATTGTTTGCAATCAACAAAAATGAAATTTATGTTTGCGTGCATTGTCAACGCTAGATGTTTAAATTCCTGTTGTCTCCATATTTACTAACACATAGACAAATGTAGTTGAGATATTGTACACTTTTTGATGTGAGTCTATTTATCTATTTTTCTATGGTTGTAGACTAGAACTAGACGGACAAAAATGTATTTCAATAAACTTTATTACGCAATGGCATTTTATAAGTCGATGTTCTGCAAGGTGGGCGAAGTATCTACTTATTATATTTATTAATTTCATATTTTAAGGACATTTCTGCTCATATTGTATTTACAAGTATTTTTTATGTGTTTTTTTAATCCACATTTTATTTTTGTGATTACAATTTTATTTTTAATAATGCATAGCCTTAAACTTTCTTTAGTTGTAAAATTTAAAATTAAATTAAGAATACTTTCTCTATCTATTTAAAAAAATTGCATTCAAATGCAAGCTTTTAGTTTAAAATGTTTTAACCCTTTGTATTTATTCGTTCTCCTATTTACCATAATCATAATTGCCGCCTCTACAGTAACGCCCACGTTCCAGAATCTCGACTCTTACTCAACAAAAAATTGGTTTTAAAATACTTCATAGGAGTGGATTTAAAAGGAAATGTGTGTGCTAATAGTGTGCCTTGAGGGACACTCTTGTTGATTCGTATGAAACATGATATTTATTGCGTCGCGAGTAATATGAAAGTGAATGTTTGGTATGCTGTGATAACGAAACGGAATTTATTCTTCAAAAATGTAGAGTTTTGTAATCGAAATTCTCTGTGTGATGAAGGTCATTGCAGTCAAAGGCTTCAGTCAGTTCGTGATCTAAAATATTCTAATTTTCAATTTTATTTTTTGTGATAAATTTCATTTATTAACAGCCCGTTTGCTTGTACTTTTAAAGGCGTATATGTTGTGTACTTCTATTGTAAGCATTCTAAAAGATTCGTGTGTAGCTTTAATAATAATGGTATTGGTGTTTGTATACTATTTTGCTGTCCTTAGCAAACGTGGTAGGACAACTTGTGCCATAATGAATTTGTGTTAAGCCGTTATTAATAACCAGTTTATAATATCAGACTCAGAAACAAGGTGTCTGTATCATTATGGTGCTTGTTAGTTAATTACATGAAATCTCTGTAGTATGTGTCTCGTAAGTGTATAAGTGTTTTAATCTGTTGTAAGGAGTCATTCTATACCGCGCTGTCGATTGATATCCCATATTTTGTTCTTTCCTAGACCTCTTCAGCTTAGATCTGTTTAGTGGCTGTAATGAACCAAGCTATGCAGTACTTAATACAGCGGCTCATTTATTAATTGTTAAAACTATCAGTACCTCTAAAGGTACTGATGCTTTGTCATTTTATTCTTAAATATACTGTTATTCTAATCGCGCACAAGGTTGTATAATAGTGTTAATGCGTACATTGCTTTCTTCGAAAGAACTGATGATTCTGTTTGCTATGTTGGAGAGTCAATCGTCTGCGCTAATTTTATAAGCAGCAAACGGGTGGGACACTGTGATTTTTATATATTTTTTAAATTAATTATTATTATCACTTGCAAATGTAATTGTTTTTTTTTACCCTTAGTTAGCCACACGTGTTTAGTGTTATTGTACTTTATCTGTGATTTCTTTATTTAGCGTAACTTTCGTGTAACTCATGTGTATGTGGCGAATAAATATTTGTGTAACAATAATTGAGTTTTCTTGTCTAAACCATTTTGTCCTTTTTTACATTTAAATTTAGAATACTTTTCTGAATGGTGGTGGATACAGGTGGATACAGGGTGTACATAAAAATCGACGACCGCAGCTTCTGCGAGTCTAGTCTTAGTCCTGTTGCCCATCCCCTAGCGTTATCTCTTTAAAGTCATCGCCTTCTCCTTTTTTCCATAGATAACGTCTACGAATTTCATGGTATTTGACCCCCACCCCCGTCCTTGAAACTCAACAGTCAAAAGGAAAAAGGCTTTGAAAATGATGAGAACTATCATGGACTGAAACAGTTTAAGTCTCCTTTCCTCCAATTTGCTTACCTTCAGAAGTCTGATCAGAATAAGAACTTAAACGTGTCATCACTACCTTTAATTGTATTTGCAAACTTTAAAAAACAAAGAGTAAAGAAAAAGTAATATAAAGGAGCTATAACCGAATTTAAAATGTTTTCCACAAGATGAGAGCGTCCATCGTCGATGCTCATAACCGCCCCATAACATCGTACATATTTTAAAAAGCTTTCTAAGTGCTCCCAACACAATATCACAATTTACGAGCAAAACAAACGGAGCTCATTCATAAATTGAACACGAAAATAAACTGGCATCTCTCTCAAATGGATTTTTATTTTTAGATACTGTTTATATTTATTTTGAAGTTCACAGTTTTGTATGAATTTGTCTTCGAGGATTTCGATTTGGTCTTAAATTGTTACGAGTTCTTTTGAAGTGATTAAAAAATCACAGTTTAATTTAAATTCCATTAGAATAATCTAAAGTTTTATTTTGTGAGAATCGTGGCAAGTGGCAACCGAGTGGGTTTAACACATTGCAAAGTTAAGCAATCCTTGTCAGGTCAGTCTATGGACCATTCTTAACACATTGAGACCCCTCCGTGCCTGTGGCATCTGGGTAGTTGGAGTTCTAAAAATTCCACAGAATTTCGATATCACCTAGTACTTGGGTTGTGGAAGTCTGAAGATAGTCGCTCTTCGTAAAAAATCGAAGTTAAGCCGTATCGTAGTGGACTTAAAGCCGACCTCAACCTAGTTTTGGAGACTACCTAGCTTTTTTAACGCCTGTATCCTTGAAGAGGTAGACGGAAACTCACATTTTGATGGTTTCTCTAACGTAGGAAAGCCATACTTACTTAATGATGGACCGACTTGACAGGCACACTTGTGACTCTTGAGTAGCAGTTGTCCATGCGCGGTGGTAGTCACTTACCATCAGATGACTCGTCTACTCGTTTGCCTCCTACACCATAAAAAATACTCTCTGCAAAACAGATACTACATAAAATACTTCTTTAATAATCTCCAATGACCGTAAAATTTGTGGCAGGAATAGTCAAATTCCCGGCAAATTGCGGCAAATGCGTTACCCTAAGAAATTGAATGACTTAACATTTCTTTAACAATGGTTTTCTAGGGTTTTAAAATCACCCTAACATTATAGCATTACGTACACACGACTGAGTTATAATAACAGAAATCTGAATTTGTAAAAATGAAGAATGAACGGGACCAATTGTACGGAAAATCATTTCCGACATGGGGGCGGTTTGTTCAATGGTTGATATTGTAAGTGGCTGTCATTATGATTCTTTGAGCAAGAAAATATAGTGTGGAGACTTCCACATACGACGAAAAACATACCATATCCTGAAGACACTTTTTTGTATTCAAAAGTGAAAGTGTACTGGTAATCTTGCCTGTAAACAAGGCGCTTGATGCAAGACAGTGTTGAAATAGAGGCCGTGGAATGCGAAACGCAGGCAACTCCCTCGAGTAAGACCATAAATGCGTTGGAGTGACGACATCAAATGACTGACGGGAACAAAGTGAATGGAAACTGCCCAAGACCGAGAAAGATGGCATAAATTGAAAGAGGCCTGTACTTCAGCGGTTGAAAATGTCTAGAGAAACAGACATAGAGGACGAAGAAACTTAACTACAGAGCACAGTTATTGGTATAATACACCTTTCGAACATCAACCATAGAGCTGCAGTTCGCCAGGTGAAATCACCTGGTGGTTGCTTGGTGGTTCCTCCATTTATGTAGGAGGGACATTAACGCCCTTTCCTCCATAGTGGCGACCTCAATTTGATTGAGGCTTGTTTGAACAAGTTTACGTAACAAATAACCTGCCCCTGTGTTGAAACAGTCGGCCTTTTATGTCGCAGAGTGCAGTATTAGACAATTTGAGTGCAATTACTGTACGCTTAAATTTGTCTATATGGTTTAGTACTCTAGAATCCACGCCACAGTATGCTTTGTTTGGATTTTTTTGAATCTAGAAAGTCAGTTCACAGTTCAGTACACCAG